CAGTTCTTTTCTGCTCCCCATTGTTCAGTAATTAGCCTGCTCAGTGCATCCACATGAGGGCTAACAAACTCACTGACTTTTTTTACACAGACACTAACTGCATTTAAAAATTCACAGATATGGGGAAATTTACCTTTAATTGACATTTTGACCAATGTGTGTCACTTTGTGCCAATCTCTTTCTGTCACCTTGTGCCAATCTCAGCTTCTGTGACTAGTGACCTAACCTGTGTTCTGCACTCTGTATTTGTCCCAGTTTGCCTTCTGTTTCAGCTGTATCCTGATCTCCCATTGCTGATTCTGGCCTGTGTACTCACTTTGTCTTCTTCCTGCTGATTAAACATGCTTATGGTATAAGGGCAAGCTGCTTCAAATACAGTGGGGCTGTGCTCGATGTAGGCTCTCATCTGTACCACTTATGGCCACAAGGGGGATCGAGAAGGAGCTCATTAACTTCACTGTGGAAAGTGGTGGTATGGGAGGAAACTCTCCTCAGCTGTGTGGTGTCCAGGAAATGCCAAGCTGCACCAAACAGACATCAGAAATGACATTCAACTGCCCGGACTGGTTGTCACAAGGTACTTCCTGATTTCATTATGTTTCAAGCCTCTGGCTTGACGGAGGAGAGGCGGGTGCCTCTGTTGCCACAGAGTCTGGCAAAATATAGTATGATCAGGAAGCATGCTTTGACCAATCCAAGCAGTGGGATATCATTTCTGGTGATGTCACTTCCAGGCCAACGTGGTTTGTACGGACTGGCGTTCTCTCTGGACACCACACAGCTGAGAGTCTTCCTCCCATGCCACCACTCCCCACAGTGAAGTTAATGTGCTTCTTCCTGATCCTCCTGGTGGCCATAGGTTGTACGGATGAGAGCCTACATCGAACACAAAGCACCAATGGATTTGAAATAGCTTGTTCTTTCACATAGGTGACTGTTCTGGCTTTAAATAAAGATGGCTATATCTTATGTTGGACCAGGGGCGGACTGACCATTTGGAAACTCTGGTACTGCCCGAGGGCCCGGGGTCAGTAGGGGGCCCCATGAGATGCCCCTGGTACCTTTTTTATAGGCTTTTTTGAGTTTGGGCAAGGACACAGGGGCCCCATGATCCCCTATTGCCCGGGGCCCCATGAGTTGTCAGTCCGCCCCTGTGTTGGACTCACTGGTCATTTATAGAGACTGATCCCCTTTGATTGTCTTCTGCTGTGTTATCTTCCAAGAGTTAGCACAGCACATATCAGAGGCCCAGTACATGTTCATCACCATAAACCCTTTATTGCCATTATACCATATGCATGTTTGGGAACTTTAAAGTTTATGTCTTATGCAACACAGGCACTGATGTTTCATGTGGAGTATATTATCATCACTTATCGTTGAACATACCAGTTCCAGCAAGCCTGTGTTTCTCATTGTATCTATGTCCACTGGACATTTTGTTCCATTTCTGATATCCAGGACTCCTTGGTGATTGATTCTGCTACACCATTTTGATGGAGGGACATTTTTCTTTGCATGGCTTTTTACAGTAGATCATGAATCATCATGATCATGTTATATTATGTACATCATTAACATTGCTGTCTATGGTGTTTCTTTCATTCCAAGCTTTGGTGCCATCACTATATAATTTTTTTTCCTGCTGATTAAGTACCTCCACTGCTTGTCTGATATCAACTCCAGCTTGGTTTCTCATCCTGCTTCTGCCTTCTGATTTGGTATGTAGCACCCTCCTTTAGGCACTAGAAGTGAGGCAAATGTAATTTCTTTGCTCTGCTGTTAAAAGTGGAGACATAATTGTGTATTGTCTTCTCTGAGTTCTGCAGCTGCAGGCTGGCCTATCTCCCCCTGTCTTTCCAGAACATTTGGGAAACATAGGGAGCAGGAAAGGGCAGAGTCTGGTCTGGCACTGGATAGAGTATCAGCCAATTCCTGGTCAGGAAGAAAATGGCAAGCCAGGGGCTGAGAGTGGTATATAAGGGTGAGAACACAGAAAGTAGCAGGGTCTTTCACCTGCTGGAGTCTGACCCAGCCTGGAATAGGAAACACTATTTATTTTTATTTTTTTTATAAAGTAAAACTTTTTTCTGTATCTGTGTATTTTGGTTATAGTTTTGGACACTGGTTTGGTATTGTTGATTCTTAAAGGGACAGCAGCACTATTTTGTAATACACATATTTTCAATTCAAATTTTTTTCCTCACATTTTTTTTGTATATTTGTTCACATAGCTTTCTTTTGCAGTGCAAGTGTGGTTTACACTGATAAGAACAGTTGTGATTTGCAAGTGTGAACAAAATTTGAGATGCAATGTGGAGGAGAAACCTGGAAAATTTGTCATTCATGGTATCATTAGTTATGGTTACCTAAGTTGCAAATATTGGTGCTGGAAAAGTGAGGAAGCAAAATGCATTTGAAACCACAAGTTCTTGCTTTACCATTTATGTATTTATGTTCTGTGAACACATGTGTTCCGCATCTTTCCCTGGAGAGGATTGCACCGAGCCAGCCTGGAGGCAGGCTTGCCTTTCCTGGTGCTTGCTGCCATGTGGCCTCAGGTGGGAGACCTGAGGGCCTGAAAATACAAAGAGTGACCGTGTTTCTACAGTAAACTGACTGAGGGGAGCTGTCTGCCAAAGATCTGTCTGGTATCACTGGAGAGACTCGCTTGGAAGATTAGAAGGAGACTGCCATCCTGTCCTTGGACTTTTGAGTACAGACATCGAGAGATCTTGGGACTCAGTGTGCCTGCTACTCCTCTGGTCCTTGATAGTCAGCATGGGTCTGAGAAAAGGGAACACTGGCTGGTGTTCTGAAGAGCTTGTCCAACTGTTGCTACTACATGGGACTTTGCTCACTTGCAAACTACCTGTTGCTATAATCTAAAGAAAAGTCTGCTATGTGCTTTCAGCCAAGACTTCAACAGTGCTCAATTAAGACATCAGCTAGATGTCCTCAGTTGTGAATAGTTCTAATTTTGGAGTATCCTACAAGATTCCCAATCACTATCCTCAGTTCAATAATAAAACTTAAAAAAAAAACATCCCCTAGAGTAGCCATTGAATACATTATATATCATCTTATTTACGTGCAGCAGCCTGTATTATATGGTATGAATTCCCTAACGAGCGAAAGTGTGCACCCTGGTTTGTGGAAAATACTTTGTGCCTGGCTGCAGGGCGAAGCAAGGGGAGACCCGGGCAAAAATGCAAGCAAGCTGTTCCTTTTGGGATTCCAGTTTTATTTACTAGCAGAGCTCACATGAAATTATATGGTATGATTCCCTGCCCACATGATGCAATAGCTCTAGTATGAATGTACTGTGGGCCCACAATGCTCTTTGTAATGTTACTGTAGCACTAACCTCTTGAGAGCTGCTGGTTTGGGGTCCCCCTTTACTTCCTGCACAGTCAAGCAAAACACATTTTCCACTTGTATCCAGACACAAGAAACATTACATGAGCTTGTTTGTTTTAGTTTTTTTAGGGAATTGATCTTGGATAGGGTATGGGGGTTGTGATGCCCAATTTGATTGCAGAATAACAATTTGAGGACAATTTCCTTCTCTAGAAAATGCTATATAAATGGTAGATAAATGACTGTGGTCCAGCCGGAATCCTGACAGTCTCTTTAGCAAAGTACAGTAACTTGCAGGAGCTTTGAGTCCTCTTGAATGGATTTTAGCAAAGTCCCAGCTTGTTGGAGCTCTAAGTCCCCTAACTGTTCAAAATACCTGGCCATCTGGCTACAATATCTGATCCAAGGACAAGGGATTGGATAAGCTATTAACTGTCCCCTGAAGACTTGCCAGAACTTGTATCCAGCAAACTTCTGCCTTCTAGGCCCTGGGGGTGTACAGGTAGTCACACAGTCCTTGTCCTACAGCCATGGATAGTACTACTTTCAGGTCTCTGTAGCTGGACTGGTTCCTCTCCAAGCTTTGCAGGCTGTCCTTCGGTAGACTGCAGGGCAGAAAGCTCCCACTTTCAGCTCTCCTTCAGCTTCCAGCCCCCAGCCTAGAAGCAGAACTCCCCTCCTCCAGGGCTCCTGCCCAGGCTACACAGCAGCACCTCTCAACACTCCATCTTCCACCGGACTCCCCTGCTAGCCAGGCTCTGCCATATTTATGGGCTGGTCTGCCACACTTCCAGACCTCCTGCCTGAGATTGGTCAGACTCCCATAAATATGCTGATCAGCCCTCTGTTTTCTGGCTTCTAGAAAATTCTTCAAGTCTCCAGAGCAGAAGGAGGTACCAGTGGACTGATAGACTGACCTGTAGAGCTCTCCAGCCCTGACCAGAAGTAACCCTCTAACTAAACACAGGCTTCTAGCAAGCCTATAATTACACTAAACAACTATGTACACCAGAGGGCACTACATTAATGTATATCTAAAGCTCAGATATTGGGGCCCATTTTCATTCCAGCAATACGTTAACAAACAACGTGTTAATGTGCCTTGTGTTAAAGTAACCAAAAGGCTGCTGAAAATCCGATGCGCCACAAAATTCTAACACAACACACTATGGTGTTGGGGCATGCTGCAACACATGTGCATTACCTTAGTGTATTCCAGCTTACAGGTTCTGGGCTGTCTTGCTGTTTAGTGCTTAATGAACACAAGAGGTCACTTACTCAATACTGGGACCATTTAGAGAACACTTTGCATTCTTTCATTGAACGCAAAGTGTCCTCTGATTGGACAAGGTGGAGAGAAGATGCAGTGACATCGCAATCTCTGCCTTGGCCAATCAGAAAATAACTTTTTTTATTATTACTACTAGAGAGATGAGCGAAGTATTCAAAAATTCGATTCGACTGATTCGCAGCGAATTCGTAGAAAAAATTCGATTCGAGTCGAATATATTCGCTGTGAATTTAACTTTAAAAAAGGGTGTTTCTAGGCTTCAGAGAGACTTAATATTAGTGCTGAACACTGTACCTTTAATTTAAATGCCCTTGGAGTCTGCTGGGGAAGAGAAATAATACTGTCAGGCAGTATGACATGCAGATGAGTGCCGTCGATCTTAGAATCACCGCACACTTCACTCATTTGGGGCCAGTCACGGGGCCAAAACCAGAGTGTGGAGCCACAGTGTGGCGGTGGAGGCAGCAGCAATGGGAGGCCATGCAGCACCCTATGACAAAAATGGAAACCACCAGCATGTGTGAGGAGACCTGAAAGTGGCACACATGGCAGAGTGTGGCGATAGAGACAGCAGCAATGGGTGTACACAGGGACCCATGACACACACCTGGACCTGGCAGCAGCATGAGGAGGCGGTACAGGGGCCCATGGGACAACATTACCAGGGCCTGGCAGCAGCATGAGGAGGTCGGTACAGGGGGCCCATGGCAGATTACAGGGCCTGGCAGCAGCAATGGGAGGCCGTGTACAGGGACCCATGACACATCTCTGGACCCTGGCAGCTGCAGCATGGGGAGTGGCGGTAACAGGGCCCATGGCAGATTACGGGCCTGGCAGCAGCATTTGGAGTCGAACGGGGGCCCCATGACACACATGGACCTGGCAGCAGCATGAGGAGGCGGTACAGGGGCGCATGACAGATTACAAGGTCCTGGCAGCAGCAACCTGGACAGGAGGACGTTCAGTCTGGCTGCACCGTCTGGTGCGTGCTCGCAAACTGTTGTCTCTTGGAAACGGATTCCAAGAAAGACTGCTGACGACAGGAATCCGTGAAGAGGCAGTAGTAGCAGGAGAAGGAGCATCTGAACGAGCGGAATATGCCAACAAGCGGCAACAGGGGCCCATGACAGATTAGATTACGGGCCTGGCAGCAGCATGAGGAGTCGGTACGGGGCCCATGGCAGATTACAGGGCCTGGCAGCAGCTATGGGAGGCCCGGTACCACGTAATCTGCCAGCAACCCTATGACAAAAAATGGAAACCCACCAGCAGTGTGAGGAGACTGATACCTGAAAGTGGCACATGGCAGAGTGTGGGCGATGGAGACAGCAGCAATGGGAGGCCGTACAGGGACCCATGACCTCACTCTGGACCTGGCAGCAGCATGAGGAGGCGGTATATAGGGGCCCATGGCAGATTAGGGGCCTGGCAGCAGCTATGGGAAGCCCGTAATCTGCCAGCACCCTATGACAAAAAATGGAATACACCAGCAGTGTGAGGAGACCTGAAAGTGGCACATGGCAGAGTGTGGCGATGGAGACAGCAGCAATAGGGAGGCCGTACAGGGACCCATGAGAGACTCTGGACTTGGCAGCAGCATGAGGAGGCGGTATAGGGGCCCCATGGCAGATTAGGGGCCTGGCAGCAGCTAGCTATGGGAGGCCCGTAATCTGCCAGCACCCCTATGACAAAAAATTCTAACACACCCAGCAGTGTGAGGAGACCTGAAAGTGGCACATGGGGGCATGAGTGTGGCGATGGAGACAGCAGCAATGGGAGGGCCGTACAGGGACCCATGACAATCCACTCTGGACCTGGCAGCAGCATGAGGAGGCGGCGTATATAGGGGCCCATGGCAGATTAGGGGCCTGGCAGCAGCTATGGGGGCCCGCGCTAATCTGCCAGCACCCTATGTCAAAAAATTGGCTACACACCAGCATGAGGAGACCTGAAAGTGGCACATGGCTAGTTGTGGGCCAATGGTCAAGTTGGAGGCCCAGTAGTCAAGGGGGACCCATTGTCTACCTCTGGTTGGCAGGGTGCTGAGGAGGCGGTCCAAGTAGGCCTAAGCCAGCAACCCCCTGTTGTTTGAGGTCCTGCTCCAGGTCCACCCTGATGCTGCTGCTGCTGCTGCACAGCTGCTGCTGCTGCCATCAGCTTTAGCTGGCCGTTAGCACAGAAGACTCTCCTCACTGCGCTGGTGAAGAAAGCTACTCATCATCGACTGCAGACCTGAGGCCTGCCGCAGCTGGTGGAGCTGCCACAGCTACATCCTACCAGCACCCCTCCCCTGCTGCCAATGCACACAGCAGCGGAACGCGAGCGCACAGGGCCCACATGGTCAGGATGGACGTTGGCGCAGACAGCAGAGACCAGCTGCCTACATAGGTGGTTTTTATAGTACGTTATTTTGGCCTCCCAGCAGCAGGTGTGAAAAAATTAGGCCACCATTTATGCAGAACGGTAGCGAGGGTCCAACAGGTGGACAGCCAAAAGTCATCCCTCTGTCTGATGGGTTGATTATTATTCGGCTGTGTCGACGCAAGCAACCGAGCCTGCTATGGGCCAATTTGTGCCAAGGAATGGGAAGGGACCTGATGGGCACCTCCATGCAGAACTACTGAGCATACCTGGCCACGGTGAGGATCTGGGCCCATCTGTCTCCTCCTCCTCCTCCTCCCATGGCAGATTTGCTCCTCCACCACCTGGCAGCAGCTATGATAGGAGGCCCGTAATCTGCCAGCACCCTATGGAAAAAATACCTCCACACACCACTGTCAGGAGACCAGCAAGTCCACAGGCAGAGTGTGGCGATGGAGACCAGCAATGTAGGCCGCCACCCTATGACCTCTGGACAGGCAGCAGCATGAGGAGTTCAATATAGGAGAAATGGCAGCAATCATAAGGGCCGCCCAACACAGAAATCATGGCCCCCAAAATCTGCCAGCACCCTGGCAAAAAATTGAGGAAACACACCAGCAAGTGTGAGGAGACCTAAAGGGCACATGGCAGAGTGTGAGCGATGGGCCAAGGCAGCAAGGACTAGGCCTCTAGCCTCCATCCCATCTGCCAGGTGCGTCCCTAGTCTCCTCCTCCCTCCTGCCTCTAAACCTTGACCAGTTCTCTGATGGCTCCTGTCCTGTCCGCTGAGTGTGAAAAACGACCCATTTCACTCAATAATTCCCTGAGCACGTCATGTCCCCCTGGCAGATCCTGCCCCCAGGAGGGGTCATAGTGGCGTTTGGCAGATCTGGGCCACGTCACCGCACCTATGGGAGGCCCGTTTTAACAGCATTTGTTCTGGACAGCAACCTATGTCAATGACGTCGTTCACACCAGCATAGTCCTGCCGACCTGAAAGTGGCACATAGCGAGTGGCCTCCTCAAAGGGCCTGAGCAAGCGCAGGTGTCACGCAGCATGAGCTGCCAATGGCCTGACATCTAAGTTACACAGCTAGGGAGGCCTTTATCCGCTTTTAACCTATCAAAAATCTGTGATGGCCTTTTGCTGTGTAAAGGAGACGGTCTAACATATGTAGGCGTTGAAGCAGCAATCCACCTTGTTGCATGAGAGACTCTGGACGTCACAGCATGAGGAGTCGGTATAGGGGGCCCATGGCAGATTGCAGCATGAGGAGGCGGTATATAGGGGCCTATGGCAGATTAGGGGCCTGGCAGCAGCTATGGGAGGCCCGTAATCTGCCAGCACCCTATGTCAAAAAATTCTACACACCAGCAGTGTGTGAGGAGACCTGAAAGTGGCACATGGCATGAGAGTGGCGATGGAGACAGCAGCAATGGCAGCCGTACAGGACCCATGAGGGACCTGGCAGCAGCATAGGGGCCCATGGGGATTAGGATTAGGGGCCTGGCAGCAGCTATAGGAGGCCCATAATCTGCCAGCACCCTATGTCAAAAAATTCTACACACCAGCAGTGTGTGAGGAGACCTGAAAGTGGCACATGGCAGAGTGTGGCGATGGAGACAGCAGCAATGGGAGGCCGTACAGGGACCCATGACAGACTCTGGACCTGGCAGCAGCAGAGGAGGCGGTATATAGGGGCCTATGGCAGATTAGGGGCCTGGCAGCAGCTATGGGGGAGGCCCGTAATCTGCCAGCACCCTATGTCAAAAAATTCTACACACCAGCAGTGTGTGAGGAGACCTGAAAGTGGCACATGGCAGAGTGTGGCGATGGAGACAGCAGCAATGGGAGGCCGTACAGGGACCCATGACAGACTCTGGACCTGGCAGCAGCATGAGGAGGCGGTATATAGGGGCCTATGGCAGATTAGGGGCCTGGCAGCAGCTATGGGAGGCCCGTAATCTGCCAGCACCCTATGTCAAAAAATTCTACACACCAGCAGTGTGTGAGGAGACCTGAAAGTGGCACATGGCAGAGTGTGGCGATGGAGACAGCAGCAATGGGAGGCCGTACAGGGACCCATGACAGACTCTCTGGACCTGGCAGCAGCAGCATGAGGAGGCGGTATATAGGGGCCTATGGCAGATTAGGGGCCTGGCAGCAGCAGCTATGGGAGGCCCGTAATCTGCCAGCACCCTATGTCAAAAAATTCTACACACACACAGCAGTGTGAGGAGACCTGAAAGTGGCACATGGCAGAGTGTGGCGGCGATGGAGACAGCAGCAATGGGAGGCCGTACAGGGACCCATGACAGACTCTGGACCTGGCAGCAGCATGAGGAGGCGGTATATAGGGGCCCATGGCAGATTAGGGGCCTGGCAGCAGCTATGGGAGGCCCATAATCTGCCAGCACCCTATGTCAAAAAATTCTACACACCAGCAGTGTGAGGAGACCTGAAAGTGGCACATGGCAGAGTGCAGAGTGTGGCGATGGAGACAGCAGCAATGGGAGGCCGTACAGGGACCCATGACAGACTCTGGACCTGGCAGCAGCATGAGGAGGCGGTATATATATAGGGGCCTATGGCAGATTAGGGGCCTGGCAGCAGCTATGGGAGGCCCGTAATCTGCCAGCACCCTATGTCAAAAAATTCTACACACCAGCAGTGTGTGAGGAGACCTGAAAGTGGCACATGGCAGAGTGTGGCGATGGAGACAGCAGCAATGGGAGGCCGTACAGGGACCCATGACAGACTCTGGACCTGGCAGCAGCATGAGGAGGCGGTATATATAGGGGCCTATGGCAGATTAGGGGCCTGGCAGCAGCTATGGGAGGCCCGTAATCTGCCAGCACCCTATGTCAAAAAATTCTAACACACCAGCAGTGTGTGAGGAGACCTGAAAGTGGCACATGGCAGAGTGTGGCGATGGAGACAGCAGCAATGGGAGGCCGTACAGGGACCCATGACAGACTCTGGACCTGGCAGCAGCATGAGGAGGCGGTATATAGGGGCCTATGGCAGATTAGGGGCCTGGCAGCAGCTATGGGAGGCCCTAATCTGCCAGCACCCTATGTCAAAAAATTCTACACACCAGCAGTGTGTGAGGAGACCTGAAAGTGGCACATGGCAGAGTGTGGCGATGGAGACAGCAGCAATGGGAGGCCGTACAGGGACCCATGACAGACTCTGGACCTGGCAGCAGCATGAGGAGGCGGTATATAGGGGCCTATGGCAGATTAGGGGCCTGGCAGCAGCTATGGGAGGCCCGTAATCTGCCAGCACCCTATGTCAAAAAATTCTACACACCAGCAGTGTGTGAGGAGACCTGAAAGTGGCACATGGCAGAGTGTGGCGATGGAGACAGCAGCAATGGGAGGCCGTACAGGGACCCATGACAGACTCTGGACCTGGCAGCAGCATGAGGAGGCGGTATATAGGGGCCTATGGCAGATTAGGGGCCTGGCAGCAGCTATGGAGGCCCATAATCTGCCAGCACCCTATGTCAAAAAATTCTCACACACACCAGCAGTGTGTGAGGAGACCTGAAAGTGGCACATGGCAGAGTGTGGCGATGGAGACAGCAGCAATGGGAGGCCGTACAGGGACCCATGACAGACTCTGGACCTGGCAGCAGCATGAGGAGGCGGTATATAGGGGCCTATGGCAGATTAGGGGCCTGGCAGCAGCTATGGGAGGCCCGTAATCTGCCAGCACCCTATGTCAAAAAATTCTACACACCAGCAGTGTGTGAGGAGACCTGAAAGTGGCACATGGCAGAGTGTGGCGATGGAGACAGCAGCAATGGGAGGCCGTACAGGGACCCATGACAGACTCTGGACCTGGCAGCAGCATGAGGAGGCGGTATATAGGGGCCTATGGCAGATTAGGGGCCTGGCAGCAGCTATGGGAGGCCCATAATCTGCCAGCACCCTATGTCAAAAAATTCTACACACCAGCAGTGTGAGGAGACCTGAAAGTGGCACATGGCAGAGTGTGGCGATGGAGACAGCAGCAATGGGAGGCCCGTACAGGGACCCATGAGAGACTCTGGACCTGGCAGCAGCATGAGGAGGCGGTATATAGGGGCCCATGGCAGATTAGGGGCCTGGCAGCAGCTATGGGAGGCCCATAATCTGCCAGCACCCTATG